GATATGAGATTTTTTTCCTCACTTGTTTTTTCACTTTTTCTTTTACATTATTGTGTGTGATTTTTTATGAAATACATTTTTAAATAAAACTAAAATGTTTAAAATATATATTATAAAGCAATAACAACAGTTCTTAAAGTCAGTCTAACATATATTCCTATTTTTCATTATTCCACATATTCAGAGCTGAAGCTGGATGATCCCACAGTTTAATTCACGTGTTTCTACAGGTTTAGTTTAGTTTAGTTGGGCTGTAATCAGCGGCTCAGACGGAGTTCTGCAGGGTTTGTTGGTTCTGATAATTCTCAGGATGTTTCACATTAAAACATGTTTATTCCTGAGGTTCTGCTCGGGTCGGGGATGCCACCAAATGTTCATCTCAATATAACAGCCTCTGTTTACACTRTGCTTGTTCTCAGAAAACGACCAGGTTTAGATGGAAAACAAGTCTTTCTTGCACTGTTTTCTGCAGCTGTGTTTAAATACAACATTTAAAACATTTAATGACGGACTTAGGCTTCCTGCAGGAACATATTGGTGTTTTTACACCAATTAAACTCTGCATTTTTCTTCTGGTTACATAAACTGAGATTTATTTGAGAACAGAATCTCTAAGCCTACAAGAAAATAACAATAATAAAAAAAGAATTATCTAAGCAAACAAAACATTTTCTTTTTCTATTTTTTTTAAACAGCCACTTTAGAACATCCTGGGCAAAACAAGCCTCTATTCTTCTGAAAGGAAACTGATGCGAGGTAATTTATGGCTGCAAACAAGCTTTTATTTTGTTTTTGAAAAGCTTATTGGTTTGTGTGTCTGACGTGCTGCAGCCTGGTTAACTGAGCAGACTGAAAAGGTTTTAGCAGAGACTTCAAAACAAACTCTAGTGTTTGTCTCGTAAACTATTATTGTTTGTTGAAAGTGATAAAATATTTCTTCCACTTCACTACATTCAATGAAAACCTGGATCAGATGATCTGTAATCGATCCTCTGTCCTGCAGAGCACCTGAAGGAGGCGCTGGAGGAGTACATGACCCGGATGGCCAAGGTTCGGATCCTGAGGACCAAGAAGAGGGAGGGTCTGATCCGGACCCGGCTGCTGGGAGCCTCCTCGGCTAAAGGCGAGGTCATCACCTTCCTGGACTCTCACTGCGAGGCCAACATCAACTGGCTGCCTCCTCTGCTGGGTGAGGAACACGTCTCAGGTTTCAGGCTTTTATTTTGAAACATTTACCATTTTCATCATGTTCTTATCTTCCTGCTCCAGCCCTGTCAGACTACACCTGCTGCTCCTCCTCTGTTGTTGGTGTCACAGCTTGTTTGTGTAATTATTTACTATTTATCATTTTGTTGAATCCTTTTTATTACGTCTTTAATAATAAACTATTCTAAGATGCTGTCACCAGGACCTGTGCAACCAGTTTTGCTCCATTCATGAATATTTATCATTGAATGAATTTTGGAATGTGTGTGTGTGTGCCTGTTTTTTAAAGCCCCATCTTGTCAGGACCAGTAGATCTTTTGCCTGGATTTATATGGTGGAATGCCATTGCTGGATTAGGGTTAGGATTAGGGTTAGGCTGTGACAGGTTATCGAGCAAATAAGAAAGAAAAACTTTTAAAAAGTTAATCATGTGAGAGATTTTAGATTTACACTTCATGTTTTCTTGACAACAAACACAAGTCATAGTTTTATTTATATTTTTGTCTCTTTAGACCGGATCGCCCAGAACAGGAAGACCATCGTGTGTCCCATGATRGACGTCATCGACCACGATAACTTTGGTTACGGCACGCAGGCGGGGGACGCCATGCGGGGGGCCTTTGACTGGGAGATGTACTACAAGAGGATCCCCATTCCTCCTGAGATGAAGAGGGACGACCCGACCGAACCGTTTGAGTGAGTTTCAATACAGGAAGTCAGTAAACTTGATTTGTTAAAGGCCTTCCATTCAGCCATGTTCAGGGCCTGAGAAACGTGAGTTTGGTTTTTTTTGCAACGCTCTATAAACCAGGGGTTCTTAACCTTTTTGACCTCAGGGCCCAATTTGTTGAACATAAAGTGACACGAGG